ATACTTCACTTAGTAGTATGGGTTCCAGCTCTAACCAGGAAAATATAAGATGTGCTATATCACCATTGTTTCTTAGAGCTGAATAGTACTCCATGGTATACATATACCACATTTTATTAAACTACTCACTAATTGATGGGCACTTGGGCTGTTTCCACAGCCTTGCAATTATGAATTGTGCTGCTATAAACATTCGATGCAGGTGTCTTTTTTTGAAGAGTGTTCATTGGCTCTTTTGGGTAGGTGCCCACAATGGGAATGCTGGATCAAATGGTAGATTCACTTGTATGCTTTAAGGTTACTCCATATTGCTTTCACAGAGGTTGAACTAGTTTGCAGTCCCACCAGCAGTGTAGGAGTGTTCCTCTCTCTCCACATCCATGCCAGCATTTATTGTTTGGAGACTTTTTGATAGAGGCCATTCTCACTGGAGTTAAGTGATATCTCATTGTGGTTTTGATTTGCATTTCCCTGATGATTAGAGATGTTGAGCATTTTTCATATGTTTGTGGCATTCTTCTGTCTTCTTTTAAATTTCTGTTCAAGTCCTTTGCCCACTTTTTAATAGGGTTATTTGAATTTTTTCTGCTGATTTTCTTGAGTTCTAAGTATATTCTAGTTGTCAGCCCTTATCGGATGGAGGATGCAAAATTTTCTCCATTCTGTAGGTTGTCTGTTTACTTTTCATGACTATTTCTTTGGCTGTGAAGAAGCTTTGTAGTTTGATCATGTCCCATTTATTTATTTTTATTGCTGCTGTGATTGCCTTTGGGGACTTCTTCATAAACTCTTTGCTTAGGCCAATGTCTAGGAGAGTGTTTCCAACTTTTTCCTCTAGAATTCTAATAGTTTCATACCTTAGGTTTAAGTCTGTTACCAGCGTGAGTTGATTTTTTGTGAGAGGTGAAAGGTGTGGGTCTGTTTGAGCTTCTACAGGTGGCTATCCAGTTTTCCCAGCACCATTTATTGAAAAGGGATTCTTTACCCCAGCGTATGTTTTTGTCTGCTTTGTCAAAGATTAGATGGCTATATGAGGATTGTTTTATATCAGGATTCTCACATCTGTTCCACTGGTCAATATTTCTATTTTTGTCCAAACCAGATTGTTTTATTACTACAGCTTTGTAGTATAGTTTGATATCTGGCATATTAATGCCTCCCATTTTGTTTTTGTTGCCTAGAATTGCTTTTGATATTCGGGGTCTTCTTTGGTCCATACGAAGTGTAAAATTATTTTTTCTATTATCTGTGAAGGAATGCTGATGGATTCTCCTATGGTGATATAGCACATCTTATATTTTCCTGGTTAGAGCTGGAACCCATACTACTAAGTGAAGTATCCCAAGAATGGAAAAACAAGCACCAGATATGCTCACCAGCAAACTGGTATTAACAGAGTAGCACCTAAGTGGACACATAGGTACTACCGTAATAAGGTATTGGGCACGTCGGAGGGGGAAGGGGCGGGTATATACATACATAATGAGTGAGATGTGCACCATCTGAGGGATGGTCATTCTGGAAACTCAGACTTGTGGGAGGAGGGGGGAAAGGGCATTTATTGAAACCTTAAAATCTGTACCCCCATAATATGCCGAGAAAAAAAATGCTAAAATAAAAAAATTAAGCTAAATTTTAAAAAAGTGAATAGACAAACCACAGACTGGAAGAAAATGTATGTAAAAATATATGTGTGACAAAATTATATTCTGTAAGGAAAGTCCTAAACCTGATGTGAAATTTGAGTAGAAGAATAAAGTAGAGAAACAGCCTCAGGGCTGTAAGAGCATGCTGTAGATTATGTATTTATCTGTAGATTACAGACAGTGCATATAGATAATAGTTTTATAAAATAAAGATTATAAAATTCATTCTGATATAATAAGATGGATGCCTTCAGCTACAGAGATAAATTACTTCCAATCTCTCAAAATGAAAATCATACAGACATAGAAAATACTTTCATTGTTATTTATTCAAAACTCTCTGTGGCATCATCACAAACATATAACCTCTGTGGGCTATGGCTAATAGGAATATAGATAAATATTTTCTTATTTTCTTCTCAAATATTAAATTTCTGAAGGGGGACTACATAAAATATAAAACTTCAGCAAATAATAAAGACAAAAAATACTTACTTGTCCTAGGATTAAATTTAAGACCATCAGAACAGTGGAGTTCCCTTCTAATCCTGCTTGAATAAACACCTTTTTCAAGATTTCTTTGAATTCTATGTAGGTATAATCATGAGATATAGATACTCGGTACAGTTTGTTGTCTGTCAAATAACAGGCCATGGTTGCACAAGTTTTTTTTCCACATCCATCTATTCCGATCTTTGGGAGAAAAAAACAACGTATGACTTTTATATATTGTCTGGAGATCCTTGAATACATAGTTTTCTGTTTATTTGTGATAGAAATTTTTTTTTTTTTTTTTTTTTTTTTTTTTCTCGAGTGATCCTTCTGCCTCCACTCACCGAGTACTGGACTAACCAGGCATGGGCGCCCACCATGACCCGTCTACAATTTTTTTTTTATAAATATATCAGTTGGCCAATTCCAATTATCCCTTTCGTTTATAGTAGAGATGGGGTCCTTGCTCTTGCTCACGGCGGTCTTAACTCCTGGACGCGTCGAGCAATCGCCCACACGCTCGGCCTCCCACAGAGCTAGCGCACTACAGGCGTGAGCACAGCGTCCTGCCTGCAAGAGATCTTACAAGTAGATAAAGTGGTATTCTTTCCTGTGTGCCCCTTCAAAGCGGCTGAGCCCCGTATCAAGGCAAGGCTTGACCGATTCAAGCCGTTTGTAAAACAATGAGCCTTGTTCCATTCAGACAGTCCTTATTACTTGCCTAGACAAGAAAGCCAAGAGTTAGCTAACAGCGCTGCCACCCATGCTGCCGCCATGGGATGACAGGTATGATTCTGCCACACAGATAGTAGAACATCTTGTTGGGGATTCCCACCCATCCGATGCACCCAAAGCAGTTAATAAGCCAGAAGCTGTACTGAGGAGGTGGAGGAGAAACTTGTGATGCCAGAAAGCCCTCTACCTTAATCCAGAGCCCAGCTAAACATGAGACAGTATCTCATTACAACCTCCCAGGAAGATGAGAAGCGTGGAAATGACCTTGTAAACGCATGCTGCTCACAAGTTCCTGTGTCTCGGAGGTCACACACACATTATCAGTACCATGGCCTATAATAAAAAACACTAGTGTGAGACATAAAGGCACACATGAACACACTGTGGAACCACATCCAAGTCCATACCACACCTGTCATGTAGACCCAGACTCAGAATTCTTTTTAT